AGCCCTGATGTGAAAATATTGAGTAACTTAAAAAGAAAATCCACGTGACCAATAGCAGATTTCTCAAGAGAAACCTTATAAGCTAGAAAGGGAAGGTGTACTACTTTTAATTTTGTTAAACAGAACAACTGCTGGTCAAGAATTTTGTATCCTGCTTAACTAAGTTTCATAAGTGAAAGATTTGAAATAAGGTCTTTGCAATCCAAGGACACACTAAGGGAATTTGTCACTACTAGACGTGCCCTAGAGGAAATACTTGAAAGTCTGTTTGGTATTCATACCAGAGTGGAATAAAACTAGAAATCATTCCAAATCAACACAAAGTCATGGAAATTAAACAACTTGCTGCTGAATGATCCTTGGGTTAATGATAAAATTAAGAAGGAAATCATAAGATTCCTTGAACTGAATTGACAAATGGAGTACAAGCTTTCAAAATCTATAGTCTACAGCCTAAAGAGGAAAGTTCATAACTTTATATGTTCACATCAAAAAAGCAGAAAGAACACAAATTAACAACCTAATGTCACATATCAGAGACTAGAAAAAGAATAATTCAAACCCAACTCCACCAGAATAAAAGAAACATCAATGCTCAGAGCATAACTAGACAAAATGGAAACCAAAATACTAACAACAAAACAATACAAAGGACTAGTGTAACAAGTTCTTTCTTTGGCTCAGTGCCCATAGCTCAGTGAGTAGGGCACTGGCCATATATACTCAGGCTGGCAGGTTCAAGCCTGACCTGGACCTGCTAAACAATGACAACTGCAACCAAAAATAGCCAGGCATTGTGGCAGGCACCTGTAGTCCCAACTACTCAGGAGGGTGAGGCAAGAGAATCACTTAAACTCAAGAGTTTGAGGTTGCTGTGAGTTGTGACATCATGGTACTCTACCAAAGGAAACATAATGATGCTCTGTCTCAAAAAAAAAAAATCACAGAAATAGAAAACATCATCATCTGTGCATGCTATGAAACATCTACACAAGAAAATTAGAAAATATAGAGGAATTAGATAAATTCTTGGAAACATACAACCTCCCAAGCCTGAATCAGGAAGAAGTAGAAATCCTGAATAGACTGATAATAAATAGGATGTTTGAAGCAGTGATAAAAAACTCTCCCAACAATAAAAGCCCTGAACCAGATTCACAGCTAAATTCTACCAGACCTACAAAGAAAAATTGGTATCTATCTGAAGAGATTATTTCATATCATCAAGAAAGAGGGAATCCCCTATCTCATTCTATGTAGCCAGTATCACCCTATTAGCAAAGCCAGAAAAGGATATAACAAAAAAAAAGAAAACTACCAACCAATAACCCTTATGAACAGAAGTGCAAAAATCTTCAACAAAATACCAGCAAACCAAATTCAACACCACATCAAAAAGATAATCCATGACAATCAAGTGGGTTTCATCCCAGGGATACAGGGTGATTTAGCATATTCAAATCATAAATGAGTTCACCACATAAACATAAACAAAAAGTCCAAATGATTATCTAGATGCAAAAAAGGCATTTGATAAAACCCAACACCCTTTCATGATAACTACCTTCAATGAGCTAGCCATAGAAGGAACATATCTCAAAAGTATAAAAGCCATATATGACAAAAATCACAGACAACAGCATACTGAATGGGGATAAGTTGGAAGCATTTCTCTTAAGAATTGAAACAAGGCAAGGGTGCTCAATGTCATAACTTCTGTTCACTATAGTATTGGAAATCCTGGAGCAATTGGGCAAGAGAAAGAAATAAAGGACATCCGAATTGAGAAAGAGGAAGTCATACTATCCCAGTTTGCTGGAGGTATGATCTTGTCTCTGGGAAACCCTAAAGACTCTCCCAAAAGACTTCTGCAAAGTCTAGGTTACAAAATCAATGTACACAAACCAGTAGCATTCCTATATACCCATAACAGCAAGGCAGAGATTCACATCAAGGACACAATATTATTCACAATAGCTACAAATAAAATAAAATATACTTAACAAAGGAAGTCAAAAAGAGAACAAAACACTGATAAAAAATTATAGATGACACAGACAATGGGAAAACATTTCATGTTCATGAACTGGTAGAATCAATGCCATTAAAATGTCCGTACTACCCAAAGTGATTTATAGATACAACATGTTCTCCATCAAAATGCCAACTTCATATTTCTCTGATGTACAAAAATATAATCCTAAGCTTTTGAAAACCAAAATACCCCAAATAGCCAAAGAAATCTTAAGTAAATCTGGAGGCATCACATTACCTGACTTTAAACTATATTACAATACTATAGTAAACAAAACAATATAATACTGGTATCAAGACATAGACCAATGGAAATGAATAGAGAACCAAGAAATAAAACTGGCTACCTATAACCAAATGATCTTTGACAAAGCAGGAAACAAAATACATTGGGGAAAGTTCCTGGGAAAATTGGATAGCTACATGAAGAAGAATGAAATAGGACCCTTATTTCTCACCATATACAAAAATTAATTTAAGATGGATTAAAGATTTAAATGCATGAAGCCATAAAAATTCTAGAAGAAAATATAAGAAAATCTCTCAAACATCTGCCTAGGCAAAGAATTTATTACTAACAACCCAAAGGCAAATATAGCTACAATAAAACTAAATAAATTGAACTTGATTAAATTAAGAATCTTGGCCAGGCGCAGTGGGTCACACCTGTAATCCTAGCACTCTGGGAGGCCGAAGCAGGTGGATTTGCCTGAACTCAGAGATTCGAGACCAATCTAAGCCAGAGCGAGACCTTGTCTCTACAAGTAGCTGGGTATTGTGGCAGGCACCTGTAATCCCAGCTACTTAGGAGGCCGAGGCAAGAAAATTGCTTAAGCCCGAGAGTTTGAGGTTGCTGCAAGCTATGATGCCACAGGAGTCTACCGGGGTGACAAAGTGAGACTCTGTCCCAAAATAATAAATGAATAAATAAATAATCTTCTGCCCAGCAAAGGAAATAGTCAATCAAGAAAGTAGACAACCCCAGAGTGGGAGAAAATATTTGCAAACTATATATCCTACAGAGAACTAATAATTTGCAATCTACAAATAAACATCAGCAAGAAAAAAATTAAAAAATGGGTAAAAGATATGAACAGAAGTTTTTCCAAAAGAGACAAATGTTCAACAAACATGAAAAAATGCTCAATGTCGTTAATCATCAGGGAATGCAAATTAGAACTATTATGATATACCACCTTACCCACATGTGAAAGGCTATTAACCATTAAAAATAATAGATGCTGGCACAGATGCAGAGAGAAACATTTTTATAGTGTCAGTAGGACTGCAAATTAGTACAGCCTCTATGGTAATCTGTATGGAGATTCCTCAGAGAAATAAATGTAGACCTACCATTTAATCCAGCAGTCCCACTGTTGGTTATCTACCCAAGAGAAATTAAGACAGTTTATTTAAAAAATATCTTAATCCTGTTTATCCCAGCACAATTCACAGTTGCAAAGATGTGGACCCCCCCCCCCAATATGGTATGTGTACATATACACACATATCCCATGTAGTACTACTCACTCATAAAAGGGAAGGAAATAATGTCATTTGCAGCAACTTGGATGGAACTGGAGACCATCATCCTAAGAGAAGTATCTCAGGAATTGAAAACCAAATACCATATTTTCTGACTAATGTGTGGGAGCTAATAAATAAGTGCAGAGCTTTTAAATTGATACCAGAAAAGTGGAGCTCCAGCCAGCTCAGCCAAGCAGGGCTGGGGGACCTGCCACCTCTGTCTTGGTGGCAGCAGCCAGCAGAGGAACTGGCAGGTTGGAGCAAGTGGAGGGGAGCTTCCTTCTCCCATCAGAGGCTCCAGTAGCCAAAGGAACAAGACCGAGCAGGGGAAAACACTGGTGATTCCTCCAGTGCATCCCTGATTGGTCCATTTTCAATCCTGCTCCCAATTGGTCTATTTTCTTCTAAAAGAAAGCTTTCAGCTCATTGGACAACTGCCCCTATATAAACCCCTGAGTAAAGAGCCTAGGAGCAGATTGTTGCGGCCCTCTGAGGTAGAGAGAGCAGGAAAGCAAAGACCTCAGCAGATCATTGCAGACCTTCAAGGGAGAGAGAGCAGAAGAAGAAGAGTTGTAACACTTGGATCCTGCTCTGCAAGAAAGTTTGGCTCTTTGTAAGAGCTGTAACACTTGCATCCTACTCTGTAAGGAGGCTTGGCTCTTTGTAAGAACTATAACGCTTGCATCCTGTTCTGCAAGGAGGTTTGGCTCTTTGTAAGAGCTGTAACACTTATACTCTGCTCTTTTAGGAGGTTTGGCTCTTTGTAAGAGCTGTGACACTTATATAAAACCTATCTTATCCTGCTCTGCAAAGTTTGGCTCTTTGTAAGAGCTGTAATACCTGTTAAATAAAGCCTAACTTCCATCCTGTGGTCCATTGATTCATTCATCGAATCGTCGAGACCAAGAGCCTGGAAATCCAATATCAAAAGTCCGGTATCAAAAGGACATATAAAAAACCAAGAAGGGGGGAGGTTGGGAAAGTAAGTGAGGGATGAATACTTACCTTTTGTGTATGATGAACACTGCTGGTGATGGGCACATGAAAAGCCCTGATGCAAGCATTAGGCAAGATATCCATGTAACAAAAACACTTTTGCTCCCTTAAAAAATATGAAAGAATTCCATATCTTGTGAAATCAAATATTAATGTGAAAAGGAAGATGTTTTGTTGTCAAATGATAGAATATTTTTTTCTGCTAAATTGGAGTTCTCTGTGCTTGAATCTGCATGGGCAGATAGTGCTGAACCAAAATGTTTTTTCCTTAGCTCAAAGTGTTTTACGAAACAATACACTAATTAGGTTAATACACTAATCCATTTTACTTTCATTAACATTGTCAATCAGCCTAGCAATACATTTTATCAAAGTGGGCATTTCTAGTAAAGACTTTCTTTTTTTATTTTAATTTTGAAGTTTTTAAAGCACAAAAAGAAAAAATATATATAGAATGAGTCATGAATTTGCATGTCATCCTTGCACAGGGTCCATGCTAATCTTCTCTGTATTGTTCCAATTTTAGTATATGTGTTGCTGAAGCAAGAACTCTAGTAGAAACTTTCTAAACTAAAGCACTTAGTTACTTTTCTGAGTTCACAGTCACTCCATTCCCACTCTAAAATTGGTGCCCATGACTCTAATTCCTTGTGGCTGTAGCTTACTCCTTACCATGCTCACCTACTTTTGTTACTGTTTCATGTTCACAGTCAGTTTTAGTTGTGCTCAAATTTGCTGATACCACTTGCACTTACATGTTTTAATTAAATATTGTGTAAGGTAGACAAAAATAGAAATGCTTATTTCCCATGTTAAGTGCAATTAATAGAAGACTAAGCTATAGCCTGTCTTCTGAAGGCAGAAAAGAACATAATACACTTCAGTAAATTTTCATATGTAGTTGAGCTCTTGATATTAAGTGTAGGCATGTATCCACAAAGTGATTTCAAACATAGTTTTAACTGAGCCTAGATTTTAAACCAACTTTTGTTTAGGTGGTTGGTTTTTTCTTCAACTTACATTATGTAACCTTACAGATCTTTATTCTATGTCCTCCTTCCTAGTATTGGTCATTTGCTCCAATTACAGAGATAGGTAGAAATAGGTTTTAGGATGCTTGCATGTATTTTGATCCTTGAGGCAGTTTTTCTTTCTTTTGGAGTTCTCCTTTTATCTTCTATGTCATTTGCCTCTTTGAATATCCATGGTATCAAAAATAGCATCTTGCACTCAGTAAAGTATTTCATAATTTTTTTTATTTTGTAAATTATTTATTTTTATTAATTTATTCATTCATAGCTGTGTACATTAATGCAATCAAGGGGTACAATGTGCTGGTTTTAGATACAATTTGAACTGTTTTTATCAAACTGGTTAACATAGCCTTCACCACATTTTATTAGTTATTGTGTTAAGACATTTATATTCTACACTAGTAAATTTCAAATGTACCCTTGTAAGATGCACTGTAGATGTGTGTGGTCCCATCAATTACTCTCCCTCCACCCATCCTCCCCCCCTCCTCTCCCTCTCCCCTTTCCCCTTCTTCTTGGGCTATAATTGGGTTATAGCTTTCATATGAAACCTATAAATTGGTTTCATAGTAAGACAGAGTACATTGGATACTTTTTCTTCCATTCTTGAGATACTTTGCTAAGAAAAATATGTTCCAGCTCCATTCATGTAAACATGTAAGAGATAAAGTCTCCATCTTTCTTTAAAGACTGCATAATATTCCATGGTGTACATATACCACAATTTGTTGATCCATCCATGGGCACTGGGGCTTCTTCCATGACTTAGCAATTATGAATTGGGATGCAGTAAATATTTTGGTGCAAATATCTTTGTTATAATGTGATTTTTGGTCTTCTGGATATACACCTAGTAGAGGAATTGTAGGATCAAATGGCAGGTCTATTTTTAGATCTCTAAGTGTTCTCCAAACATCTTTCCAAAAGGAACATATTAGTTTGCATTCCCACTAACAATGTAGAAGTGTTCCCTTTCCTCCACATCCATGCCAACATCTCTGGTTTTGGGATTTTGTGATGTGGGCTGATCTTACTGGAGTTTGGATATCTCAAAGTAGTTTTGATTTGCATTTCTCCAATGATTAAGGATGATGGGCATTTTTTCATGTGTCTGTAGGCCATGCACCTGTCTTCTTCAGAGAAGTTTCTCTTCAAGTCCCTTGCCCACCCTGAGATGGGATCACTTGTTCTTTTCTTGCTAATACATTTGAGTTCTCTGTGGATT